GACGTTGACGCATGGGGACTGGGAAGTGGACGGCATGTCGCACCGAAGAGTAGTGGGCCAGAACCGGCGGAGCGACACGCTATCCAAGAGTTCCCGACTGTAAGCGCTGTTGGCCTGATCAATGTGAAGGAAGCTCAACGAGACGACGCCAGGAAGAGACTTGGGCAGAACAGCAAGGAGCACTTCATGATGGCAGCCAATACGTTCGGCGACATGCAGCATTCCAGGAGAGCGGGCAGCAACTTGATCAATGTCAGATCTGTTCCTTCATTGCAGCATGTCAACCTCTCTATCACATTGGTGCCCAACTGGAAGGCTTCTTGGGGAGATTATATCAGGTCTAATCGGGGCTACGGGGGATGAAGGCATTTGCCGAACCCATGCGGTCTCCTCGCACGCGATGGCTGTTAGGCTCTCCCCTCCTCCTCCATCCTTGTCCTCATAGACAACTCACCCCTGTACTCGCACTCCCAGACTCGGCGGTAGGACGGGCCGGGCGTTTCGCTTGAGACTTCCTCACCCTTTATGATCCTGAAGGTTGGACTTCCTGACCCTTTACGATCCTGAAGCTTCAAATCAGCAATAACTTCAACGATGGAGGGCGGCGGGCTTTCAAACTGTGGCTCTCTTGCCGTAGCGCCGCACACATTCGTCTTAAAAGCTTGCAGCAGCTTCAAAGCAAAACGTAGGGCGGCTCCCTTTCAAATGCGTCTCCTGCCTTAGCACCACTCACATTCGTCTCAACGTTTGTAGCAGTTTTAAAGATTCGTAAGGCTGAAAGCCCCAGCATTGTGTTCTGGCATGATTTACAATGGTCAGGACGCAGCGGTCACGACGATGTTTGGTGTTGAAACCCCTGGAACGATGTTCTGGCACGATTTAGGACTGTCAGGACGCAACAATCCCGTTCATTCGCGGCCTTAGAACACAAAAAACTGCGTGTTGTCACGATTGCAAATTCTCAAACGGTTGACTTGCAATGGGGCACTTCCCACCATAATAATGAACTGTTGTAGGGACCTGTGACGAGGGAACTTGGAGGGATGGTTTATTGCAGCATCTTTGGTTCGTCTTGGGTTACACTGGTCCTCCTCCTCCTGCCCGCATCTTTTGTATACTCACTACCCTCGGCGGCGGGCCCGGGGGGAAGTGAGAAGGGGCGGGCCTTCTCAGAAGGCTCGGCAGTCCCCCGTCCTTCTGGAGGGCTTTCTAGGACTTCCCCGAAGACGCAGAAACCTCTCAGAAGGCCCGAGGCCTTCCGAGAAGCCCCGCCGCCGTCTGAGAAGGCCTTCTCCTTCTCACTTACCCCCCCCCCGCTCGCCGCCGACTCCCCCCTCCTTCACCTCCTCACCCCCTCTCCCGCATATCTCTCTACCCTACTCCGTCCTCCCCCTCCTCCTCCTCCTCCTCTTTTCCTCCTCCACCTCCTTCTCCTCCTCCTCCTCCTGCCCCTCCTCCCTCCTACGGTGACGGTATTGGACAAGGAACCATTGGATAAAGAATCTAGGGTCTGGAAGCCGGTGGAACTCCAATTGAGGCTTAGCCATGGCTACCACCGTCGCCCTCATCAGATAAGGCATCCCCCCGGGTCTGAAGCCTCCTGGACACACTTCTGACCCAACGCCCCCACCGTACCCCCTCCGCCCTTGCTCCTCACACCCTACTTCGTCCCTACGTTCATTCCCTTCATCCTTCTTCTCATCCCGCTCCTCCCCCTGCCACTCACCCTCCACCTCCCCATCCTCTCCCTCCTTCCCCTCCTCCTCCTCCTCCTCCTCCTCCTCCTCCTCGCCTCCTCCTCCTCCTCCGCCTCTTCCTCCTCGGCCTCCTCCTCCTCCTCCTCCTCCTCCTCCTCCTCCTCCTCCTCCCTACGGCGACGACGACGACCCCCCCCCGTCTCCAGGCTGAACTCGCCCAGCGTGAGGGCGGACAAGACAGCCGCCTGGGGCTCCCAGCCAGGCGCGGCGGCTGGCAAGCGGACCTGGGGGGGTCGTCCTCGTCGCCGTCGCCGTCGCGGCCGTCGTGCCCCGTCGCCACCGTTGCCGTCGTGGTATTCGTCGGCCTCGTCGGAGCGGGAAGAGGAGGAGGAGGAGGAGGAGGAGGAGGAGGAGGAGGAGGAGGAGGAGTAGGAAGAGAGGAGGATGATGAGAGGAGAAAATGAGGAGGAGAGGAGGAGGAGGAGGAGGAGGAGAAGGAGGAGGAGGATGGAGGATGGAGGAAGAGGAGGAGGAGAAGGAGGAGGAGGAGGAGGAGAAGGAGGAGGAGAAGGAGGAGAAGAATAAGGACGACGAGGAGGAGGAGGAGGGAGGAGGAGGGGGAGGAGCGATGTTTTTTTCTGCCGCAGCCCTGGCTGGCAGCGCCATGCCTCGCCTGGCCTGCTCTCCTGGCATGGGCAGGCGAGCCACACGACCCTACACGTTTCCATGGTGCCACGCGTCCGCGCTGCTGCTCATTGCAAGCCTCGCTCCCACAGGGCAGCACGCTCCCGACTGTGCAAGGGGAGCGGTGGGCCCTGTCTGGGGCGGGCTCGCCCTGGCACAGCGCCAGAAGCTCGCGTCCAGGCTCGCAGAGAGTAGGCGGGTAACAGCGGGAGGGGGGGAGAAGGAGGACGAGGAGGGAGAAGAGTACAAGACGGGTAAACAAGGATGGGGGGATGAGGAGGATGGGGAGGGGGACGACGTCGAGGAGGAAAGCAAGGAGGGAGGAGGACGAGGAGGGCGGAGAAAGAGGAGGGCGAGGACGAGGAGGAGGTGGAGGACGAGGAGGAGGAGGAGGATGAGGAGTGAAGAGTAAAACCAAAGTGTGAGAGGAAGGCGGGAAATAGGGGGACGACAAGAAGGCCAATGACGAAATAAATCAGGAGGAGGGGGAAGGAAGGAAGGGGGTAGGGAGAAAGAGACGTGCAACAGGAGGGGAAAGACGAGGATGATGAGGATGATCCAGAGCCAGAAAAGGAGGCCCCACTGGCGTGGCCTTGGCCCCACTGGCCGACTTGTATGCCTGTGCCTTCTGGCCTCTCGGGGCCTGATTATTCCCACCTGGGAGTGGGCTGGTGGGGCTGAGATACCATGGCCCAGTGGGGATGGGGATAAGTTGAACTTGGCGGATGCTGATCGAGGGCGTTAAACCGAAGCATGTTGGCTCTGCGTATGAGATCTTCCACTAATTCCAAGTTGGTGTCGTCGTCGCTGTCGTCAGTATCCGGTCGCCGTTTGCTGCCGTCCAAGCAGGTGCCAATGTTGCTTCCATCGTCGAAGGCTGTTTACGCTGCCGGTGGCGGAGCTGCTGTCTCGTTCGATGTCTCTTGGTGTTTACGATGAGTCGAAATTTCCGTCGTTAGGTGCATCGTGATGCTTGGAGCATATGGCGCATGTCCATGGTGAGCGTCCAGGATGTGCAGCCGTACATAGCTGCTGGTGTTACTGTTCCGCTGAACAAGCGGAATCTGCTGTGGAGAGGGTACCGCTCGCTTATGAGTTCGTAGCGAAGCTGGTCAAAACGGCGCCATGCAAACGCAAGTCTGTTGGAGGACTCTGCCTGGTGAAATGATTGGAACGTGAGCCTGAGGCCACGATACTTGGTCTGGCCCGCGTTGAGAAGTTCAGTTTTGTCGCCATCTACGTCGTTTGTGTATGATGGTCCGTCCCGATCGTCTGCTAGCGTTGGTGAAATTTTGGATTTGTCAGGGTGCAATGCAAATTCGGATTTGTATGCGTCCTATTTGTAGTTCCGAGGAATGATTTTCAATTGTCGTAGGTTCGATGGGAGGAGAGCGCGTCGTCGGCAAAACGTGGATTGGTGAGTAGCGCAGCCCTGAACTTTCTCAATCCATTGTATGCCAAATCAACAGCGTTCTCACGATAGCACCGCGGAACATGGAGGAGCTGAGTGTGTCGCTCTACTTGACTTGAATGCTACATTTTCTGCTGTTGGCATCGGTCCTCAATAATGCGGCTTGCTCTCTGTAGAGACCCTGCAGCGAAGAAATACGTGGTTCTGGTAAGCTCTGCACTCGACTTGCTCGGCTGAGGCGCTCGTGGTCGACGGCATCGGATGTCTTCTGAAGTAATCGATCGCAGCGGATCTTAGTAGGAATTGCCAATCATAGGATTGCTCATGCAATAAAGCCGGGGTGAAGAGATGATCTTCGAGGATCAAAAAAGGAGGATCAGCTGGAGGAGGAGGAGGGAGGGAAGAGGCGGGACAGTCAGAGAGGGGGGGACAAGGAGGAGGGTGAGGAGCAGCAGCAGGAGGGTAACGAGGGCAGGGAGAAGGGAGGGATGAAGGAGGATGCGGATCCCGAAGCGGCAGAGCGGGGAGGCCCTGTGAGACCGCGGGATGAGGGCTCCTGCAGTCGGCACCATTGCAGGAGGTCCGCATCAGCCGCTCCTCAGGATCAGTCGATGCGGGCCTCCTGTCATGGGACCTCCAGGAAGGAGGGAGACTGGAGAGAGAGCAGCTGCTATTCGCCATGGCCCCCTCTGGTCTGGGAGCAGGGTGAGCCTGCGGCGAAAGAGCACGGGTCGCTCTCGGACAGAGACGCATGCCGAGCCATGCATTCTGTACGCGCGCACTGTTGGCGCGGGTGGACGGCGAATGTGAGATCCGAGCTCGAATCGAGCTCCGCCGAGCGGGACCTGCCATCGCTCGGACGTCCATTCCCCGTGCATGTTTCGGTTGCGTGCGTGCTTTTCTTGCTGAATGATCCAGGATGCTCATCGATGGTCTACGCCGAGGAAACATGCACACGTCCGAGCGATGCCAAGGGGAGAGCATCTCCTGTCGCGATGCGCCCCGTGCGCCCCGCTCCATCCTGGCAGGGACTGCTGGCGCGGCCGTGCAGGGCATAGAGTTGTGGATGCCATGACAATGGACACTCTAACAATCCTATCATTGAGTTAAATATGCGTTTAACATGTGTAACACATGTTCTAAACATGTTTCAAACATGATGTTTTACATATTAAAAGCCATGTCCGAGACATCTTCTAGACATCTGG